TTCCCTTGTGGTTTGAACCGTCCAAACTGTTTATAGCCATTCCAAGCAATAAGTATTTTTTCCGTTTGCTTTGGAAGACTTCCCACTAAATACTCAGTGTATCAGAATATCTTTGCTGTCCAATGTTTTTCTTTACATTCATCTCAGTATTTCTAGTTATTTCCTAATTATTTCATCCTGGACATTTCCTTTTTTTCCTTACAATTTCTGTCCTTCTCCTGCCCTTGTGAACTGTAAAGAGAGCAGAATGTGGTCACATCAGCTGAGTGTTTGGCAAAGCTGTGCATGTTTAACTCTTAACTATTTTTGCTTATCTGATCTTTTGAGAAACACCCAAATATATCAGATAAAAGGTGAATTGTCACCTCCTACATTTACTGATGCTGTTTTCTATTAATCAGACTTACAGACTATAACTAAAAATACTAAAGAAGCTTCTAAAGTGCATCAAGACAACAGCAAAAGGCTGGGTGCTACACATGTACCCAGCCAAAAGGATGAAGGAGCCAGAAATGAAGCATATCAAATTCAGCTTGAGTTGGAATCACCCAGTGTTTGCAGTGATGCACAGCAACCATACTCTTTTGGGAGATCCAGGTTTGAGAGAGAGATGTTGCATGAACTTCTAGACCAAGCAGTCCCCGAAGATGAGCATCCTTTGCCAACAGACCATATCCAGGAGGGTGAAGGTGCTTTTGCCATCCATTCACACAGTGAAGAAGAGTACGAAGAAGATGTCATAGAACCACGAACTCTTAATGAAATAACAACCGTAACGGACAGAACTAGTCCCTGGTCCAGTGTGGTATCCGAAGTGGAGCAGAGTGCTGATCAACAGCCCATAGACTTGAGGTCTGATGATCAGCACTTGGTTCAAGGTTGTTTGCGAAAAGGAAACAGCAGATGGAGCAGCACATTGTCCAGCATACCACAAGGTGACAACCAAAGCATATTCACCACTCTTACCCCATGCGTTAGCCCCCGTGCAGAAGAGAGCAGTGCTTGGGCAGTAACAGATGGCTTTAACAGCGTGAGCAGTGGCACAGAAACAACTAAGGAGGAGTTTCAGCTCGCTCGTTTGTCAGAAGTGCACCAGACAGCTGATGGCCCTGTAGAAAATGGGAATTGTGACTGGGATGGAGTGTTTGAAACTAAACAAATAGAGCCAAATGAGGAACTTCATGCAGCCTCCAAAGAAATACTGCAAGACATCTCTTTGACCAATTCAAAAAGCACAGAGAGCCAGGAAGAAAATGGTGACGATTTAGATGAAGATCATCAAGACGAGGAAGAAAGTGGCTCCGATGAAATATGTGTGAAGAGTGCATCTGCCCAACCAGGCTCTGAAGGAAGCAGTGAAGACTTCTCTGATGAGAGTCATGAAGACCCACTGGAAGAGTCAGAAAAATCTGTGAAACCAAAAATCGCTTTGTATCCTTCTTTTCTCTCAAGCATACGTTGCATTCCAGGAGAGCATCTTATTTCTCAGTTAAAACCTCACTGGCCTCAGGAAAGAGAAATCCATTGTGTGGAACTCTTCCTCGTGAAACGAGTTTAGAATCCATGTCCCAGGAAAGTACAAGAAGAGCCTGTTATACTGTGTTTCACAGAAAAAGTAGTGCTGAGCTCCCTATCATTTATGGCCAGTATTCCGTATCATGTGTGAGAGTTATTTCATTTTGAGTGGTTTCAACGTGTTTTCCTGCTTTTTTTTCCCCCCCTCGTGGCAGCACTGAAGTTCCTAGGTTTCTTGGGTATTAAAACATCATTTATTTCGTCTTTAAAATACATTCCCTCATTCCTTGCGTGGATCCCAAACCTACATTCAGTTTCACTAAGCTGTCCTGGAATTTTTGCAGGATGAAGCACTCTACCCATACGTGAGGTATTACTTTAAAGCAAGGGCATGTCCTGTGCTCTGCGAGGCCAGGTAATAGAACCAAGCGTTCAAAATGATAAAACATTGATTAAAATGAATGAGATTATCAAACGCCATCTGGGATCCATTAAAAACTGTTAGGATGAGGCTTATTCCAGACCCCGCAGCTCCTGGGAAGCTTTCTGTAACTACACACCGCCAAAGGTTGTTTCTTAACAGCTCTGCTCAGATCTGCTCCTGTTGTTCTTCCCAACTTTTTCCTTCCACCCCAGCAGATGGAAGCCTCCATGCGAATGCTCAGCACTTCTTCTCATCCTTCCACAACTCTGAAGGTAAGTATGGGACACCCTTTCCGTTGCCATCCTCGCTGAACGGTGTCCATTTGTTAAGGTAGGAATGGAAATATTTCTCCCTTTCCCTTGGGTGCTAGGGCTGAGGTTAGCCATCCGTGATGACTTCCAGATCAAGTCGGGGAGAATCCTTCTGATAATCTCTCCTCTCAGGGAGGATCATTTTCAGCATTCATGGCTGCATTGTGGGTAATATTTATGCATTTGTATTAGCCACTGTGTTTGTCACAGTGGGGGTTGCTCTTCTCCACTGGGGTCAGTGGAAGTGGCACGTGCTCAGCACTTCTTTGTGCTTTAATGGGAGATGAGGTGCCCAATTTTGCACTGGCTGGGAAACGTAGCTTGTAGCTGAGACTCCAGTTTATCCCTCTTGGATCAGGATGAAATGAGGGAGTTTACAGTAGAGAGCCTGTCCTTGAGGGATGTCAAATAATTGTTCTTCAGTGGAGCGAGAGAGAGTAGTTGAATAGCTGGAGTGGTTTTTAGTTAGATAGGAAGGCTCCTGAGTGCTTTTGCGGTTTCATAGGTGTTTTTACATGCGTAAGCATTTGTTTATTACAAGGGGGTAAAGATTATTTTATTTCCAGAAAGATCCTCTCTTGGTCATTTTGAGGTCTACTGTCTTGGAGGCACAGTTTTGCTAGGGCTGTTGGTATGGGCCTCGGTACTGCAGCAGCTGGGCTATTTGGTTACCACTCCCAGTAAAGATAGTATGTTGGTTCCCCTCCCTTTGACCTATGCAACAAACACTGCGAGGAACATTTATGTAATTGGAAACAACTTGCTTGATTAAACAGTACAAAAACAGGCAGGATCTAATAACTCTGAAGTAATGGAGACTACCTGCAATTAATAAACACGTTTACGGTTCAGGTAAAATGCCTGAATTTTTCCTGGTTTCGTGTTTGTAAAAATGGAACGTTTCTGATTTATGTGAAAATGATTTTCCTCTAAAGCCTTTGAAAATTGTTAGTGATTGCCTAACCTTTAGTTACTTTTTGCAGTCCTAAACTTAATGAAGGGGTCCTGTTGCAAGCTGTTTTGCTGTCAGCTAAGTATTCTTCACCAGAGTGCTCGTTCCTGATTACAGGTATAGATCTCTATCAGAGGAGTCGTGGGAGAATATTAGCAAGGCAATATTTGGATGTAGCTAACCTTAAACCAGCTTAATTCCGGGGTTAGCTAATTCTTTGCAATAGCACTTGTGGGTGTCCACCACGGCAGGGCTCCGTTGTGCCCTGGGTTATGCAGGCTGCATCAGACACCAAACGTGGAAGAGCAAGAAGTTTTTCCCTTAGGAAAAGTAAGTGCACTGCAGTTCCTGAAGTGTGCTTTCTGATATTTTGATTCGTAATTGGCATGACGAGCATCAGTTGCTAAATCTGGGTTTGTTAGGTTTCAGTTCAGCAAACTTCAGACACACTGAGCATGACAGCAAGGCTGAAATCTGAGCTGCAGGGCTGTTTTCATCCAGAGATCAGCAGTCACCTTTCGCTCTCATGGCAGCTGGCAAATCTCTGGTGTTGCTGCCACCTTCTCCTGTCTTGTCTGACTCCCTGCTTTTCCTGCTTTCCTACCCAAAATGGTGAAGCAGCTTGCCGTTCTCGAGGTCCTTCCCAGCTCCGCTGCTCCACGCTTGTCGCCTGCTGTCCTCTCCGATCCAGCAGTCTGGGATCCACCTCTGCCACTTAGCAAG